GAGTCTCAGTAATCACCAGGGTCCTTTAGTACTCGTTGCAAGTACCTCTGAGAGAAAGGTGCCCTCGATTTTCACCTGCTACCAAACAGTCTAGGCTCTCCTCCAATGAGCCCAGAACTGGGGTTCAGTTCAGTTGGAAGTGGAGTTGGAGGTGGCGTTCAGAGAAGTCCGGAGCTTTTGTCTCCTTCCCGCCAGGGCAATCCCACGGCTCAGCCAACCGTCCCTTTTCTGCGTCCCTTTTCTGTGCGCAATGTGCACGCCTCCGGGACCTCCTTTCGCCGCTCCCCTGGGGTTCAGCCTTACAGCCCAGCTCCCTATGGATGAGCCTGGGTCCCGAACTGGGGTTCAGAGCAGTTGTAACTGGGGCTCAGCACAGTCGGAGCTTTTATCTCCTTACCGCTAGGGAACGCCAGCCAGACACTCAGCCACCTCTCCTCTCCGGCTCCATTCTCTCTACGCGTGCCGCGTGTCTCCGTACCTTAGGCTTTTACAGCTCCTCCGCTCTTCCTTCTGGTTTTCTCCTTACTTCTCATTGTAGAATTTCCAGTCAGTCAACTTTCCTGTAGTTCTGGGTAATGTCTATTTTATATTTTAGTTGTATTTTATTGAAATTGTTGTGTGCGGCTGCGGCTAGGTGTTTATCTCTGCAGCCATCTTGGATTCTCCTACATGGATGAATCTTGAGGACATTACACATAATGAAATAAGCCAATCACAAAAAGACAAATACTGTATGGTTCCACTCATATGCAGTATCTAAAGTGGTCAAATTCATAGATATAAAGACATTAGAACGGTGGTTGCCAGGGGCTGAGGAAGGCGGCAAAGGAAAGTTGTTCTACAAATGAAAAAGTTCTGAAGACCTGTTTCACAACAATGTAAAAATACCTAACATTACCAAACTGTATACTTAAAAATGGTTAAGATGTTAAGTTTTATATGTGTTTTTACCATAATTAAAAAAAATAGCTATCAGTCCTCAAAAAGACACAGAAACCAAAAATATATATAATATTTCTAAGTGAAAGACGCCAATGTGGAAAGGCTACACATTGTATGGCTCCAACTATATGGCATTTGGGAAAAGAAAAATCTTATAAAGACAGCAAAAATATCAGTGGTTGCCTGTGGTTTGGAGACAACGAGGGAGGGATGAATAGGTGAAGTGCAGGGTATTTTTAGGGTGGTAAAATTATTCTGTATGATGCTCTACTGCTGAGTACATGACATTAGGCATTTGTCAAAACCCATTCTCATCATTAATGTTTCTAACTCTCCCTCTCTCTTCCTCTCTGAAATATATATTATATTATATATATATATATATATAAAAATGGAAAGAAGCCTAACTGGTTTGGCTCAGTGGATAGAGCGTCGACCTATGGACTGAAAGGTCCCAGGTTCAATTCCGATCAAGGGCATATATCTTGGTTGTGTGCACATCCCCAGTAGAAAGTGTGCAGCAAGCAACTGATCGATGTTTGTCTCTCATCAATGTTTCTAACTTTCTATCAATCTCCCTTCCTCTCTGTAAAAAATCAATGAAATATATTTTTAAAGAAAAGAAAAGAAAGAAACACCAGTGATGACAGAGAATCATTAATCTGCTGCCTCCTCCACGCCCCCTCCTGGGGATCGAGCCCAAAACCTAGGCATGTGCCTTTAATCAGAATTGAACTTGGGACTCTTCAGTCTGCAGGCCAATGCTCTCTCCACTGAGCCAAACCAGCTAGGGCTCATCATTGGTATTCCTATCTCTCTCCCTCACCCTCCCTTTCTGAAATCAATAAAAATATATTTAAAATAAAAAGCATGAGGAAATATGTGGAGACATGAGCTTTCTGGCATGTGATGTGGAGGGGAAGAGATTGCCATGTGAAGAAAGGGGTGGCAGGAATAAAGGGGCAGCTGGACAAGGGAGGGGCCGGCTCGGAGATGGTCTGGAAAGCCATGCCTCCCGTGGCGGACCATCCCAGGCTTTCCTGATACACCTTAGCGGGTTCCCAGGGTTCCCGGCAAAGCTTTCCCTACTAGTTTAGTGAGCACTTGCTATGTGTCAGGCGGATATCAGACACAGTTCAGGATTAGCTCTAAAGCACCACTCCACTCCAAAGCCTAAGGTTCAGGATATCATTTAGAGACCAGGCAGCCAAGGACATTAAGGGACAGAGACAGGCAGAAAGAACAGTGAGAAAGAGAAGTGAGAGGACAGAGAGAGACAAGAGAGTCAGAAAGGAAACAGAGAGACACAGAGGGGACAGAGACAGGGAGACACAAAGCAATAGAAAGAGGACAACTATAGACAGAGGAAAGATAACAAGGGACAGAGACAGGGAAGCAAGAGATGGACAGAGAATAAGGAGAGACAGAGAAATCCCAGGCAAGAGAGACTCCCTCCTGGCAGCAGGAGCAACTCACACGTGAGTGGCAGAGCCACCGTGGAGAGACAACGGCCTGGATTCAAACACCAACTCCAACATCTGGGCAAACCCAGAGCCTTGGTAGGATGAGGATAATGGCAGTGCCTCTCACGAGTCAGTAACCATCTTGGTACGTGAGCAGTCTCTAAAGGTAGTTGGGCCACCTAACCAGGGCTCAGGTTGGACACTGGAGGCTGGTCTTGTGCTGATGGGGGTCTACTGGGACTGACAGAGGGGGTGGCATAGGCTGTGGGGGACGGCATGTCCGGCTGGGCTCACAGTAGCAGAGTGGGAAGCTATCCATGAGGCAGGCGCGCCCTCTAGTGGCTCCCTGGAGAAGCTGGAAGGAGGATAGGAAAGGACTTGGGTGAGATTGGGCCCAGGCCTTGCAGGGGAATCACAGGCCCTGAGAGGAAGAGCTGCTCCAAGGTAGGATGGGAGTCAGGCCAGGCACAGGGAGGTTTCCTCACCAGCAGGGAGATGGTGCTGAGAGGGGGGAGGCTTTAATGGGAAGCTTCTTCCAGCTTCCTCCTTCCCTCCCTCCTTCCCTCTCCCTTCCTCTCTTTCATTCTCTGTGCTTATTTCTCTCACACGTGCCAAGGAAACACAGGGCAGAGAGGGTTTCTCATTGGAGGCGGAGTTCACAGACTAAATGCAGGACTCTGACGGTCGGTTCCTCTGCCTGAGATGCCTGTCTTTTCCTCAGTGAGAACTCAAACCTAAGGACCAGCTTTGTCCTCACTGTCCCTTTGGAAGTCATGCTCACCACCTTTAGCCTGAGCATTGGCCGCCACCATGACCAGCAGCCCAGTATTATTTACCTCCTGACACCCAAGGCTCAGGCCAATGTCTGGAACCTGTTGATTGCTTAATGAACCAAATGAGAGGAAAAGTTAATAAAGACTAGGAAATAGGTAAGTAAAATAAGCCAGTCAGAGAAAGACAAGCACCATATGATATACTTATATGTGGAATCTAATGAACAAAATAAACTAACAAACAAAACAGAAACAGACTCAGAAATACAGAGAACTGACAGGTGTCAGAGGGGAGGGGTTTGGGTGAAAAGGGATTAAGCAATCAAAAAAACAAAAAGAAACAACCTCATAGACATAGACAACAGCATGGTAATTACCAGAGGGAAAAGGGAGTGGGGGGAGGTTGACGAAGATAAAGTGGGGATAAAGGGTGATGGAAGGAGATGTGACTTGGGGTGGTGAATACACAATACATGGATACTATATTACAGAATTGTACACCTGAAACCTAAGTAATTTTATTAACCAACTAGAGGCCCAGTGCATGGATTCGTGCACTGGTAGGGTTCCTATGCCTAGCCTCGGGGAGGTGGGCCAGAACCAGCTCTCCAACATCCCCTAAGGGGTCCCAGATTGGGAGAGGGCAGTTCTCCTGGCTCCCTCCTCTCGGACTCCAGGTGTGTCACCTGAGAACTGCAGCTGCCAAGTCACTGCAGCTCAGCAGCTCCTGCGTTGAACATCTGCCTCCTGGTGGTCAGTGCAAATCATACCTACTGGTCAGATGGTCGGTTAGGCTTTTATATATAGACTAGAGGCCCAGAGCATGAAATTTGTGCACAGGGGCAGAGGGGGGGATTTGTCCCTCAGCCCAGCCTGCACCCTCTCCAATCTGGGACCCCTCAAGAGATGTCCGACTGCCCATTTAGGCCCAAGATCGGGCCTAAACGGGCAGTCAGACATCCTCTCACAATCCAGGACTGCTGGCTCCCAACTGCTCGCTTGTCTGCCTTCCTGATTGCCCCTGACTGCTTCTGCCTGCCAGCCTAATCACCCCCTAACCACTTCCATCCAGCCTGATTGATGTCTAACTGCTCACCTGCCAGCCTGTTTGCCCCCAACTTCCCTCCTCTGCCAGCCTGGTTACCCATTACTGCCCTCCCCTACAGGGTTGATTGCCCCCAACTGCCCTCACTTATAAGCTGGCCCCTTTCAACTGCCCTCCCTTGCAGGCCTAGTCCCCAACTGCCCTCCCCTGCTGGCCATCTTGTGTCCACATAGGGGCAGGATCTTTGACCACATGGGGGCAGCCATATTGTGTGTTGGAGTGAGAGTCAATCTGCATATTACTCTTTAATTAGATAGGATAGAGGCCTGGTGCATGAGTGGGGGCCAGCTGGTTTGCCCTGAAGGGTGTCCTGGATCAGTGTGGGGGTTCCCTTGGAGCATGGGGCGGCCTGATCGAGGGGTCTGTGGTGGTTTGCAGGCCGGCCACGGCCCCCAGCAACCCAAGCAGAGGCCCTGGTATCTGGGATATATTAACTTTCTACAATTGAAATTTTGTAGCCTGGAGTGGAACCAAGCCTCCTGCTTGCTCAGTGATGGTGGCAGCCGTTTCTGTTTGGATTTGTTTACCTTCTATAATTGAAACTTTGTAGCCTTGAGTGGAGGCTTAGGCCAGCAAGGGCAGGTGGAAAGCTTGGCTTCCTCCGTTGCCGGAGAAACACCTCCCTCCTGCTCTCTGTGGCAATAGCCATCTTGGTTGGGTTTATTTGCATACTTGCTCAGATTGGCTGGTAGGCGTGGCTCGTGGAGCAGAGTGATGGTTAATTTGCATATTACTCGTTTATTAGGTAGTACCACACAAATAAATTCCATTTTAAAAAATGTTTAAAAGACTAGTAAATTGGACCTCTAAGAAGCTAGGAAAAAATAGAGATGGAAATAGATTCCACCAAGTATGCAGACACATTTTCTCCTTCAGAGGCGTCTTTACCCACATACCCCCTCCCAACTAGCTCCTGTCCCCCATTCCCTATCCCTGCCACATTTCCCGTAAGAGCCCTTGCAGGCTTTTCCTTGCCTCCACCCCCCATTCTTCACATGTGGCTTCAGGCCACAAAATACTCCAAAAGGTCCTGAAGGTCATCCATGTCCCCAAATGCAATGAGTGTCCTTCACCTCTTTATAGACGCTACCACATAAACACAAATAGTGCCCACCTCTCTCTCTCTCTCTCGCTCTCTCTCTCTTTTTAAAAATATATTTTATTGAATTTTTACAGAGAGGAAGGGAAAGAAAAGAGATAAGAGAGCTAGAAATATCTATGAGAGAGAGACATTGACCAGCTGCCTCCTGCACACCCCCTACTGGGGATGTGCCCGCAATCGATGTACATGCCCTTGACCAGAATCGAACCTGGGACCTTTCAGTCCGCAGACCGACGCTCTATCCACTGAGCCAAACTGGTTTCGGCATGCCCACCTTTCTATCTTCAACTCAGCTTGCTGCCGAGCCCTAGTCCATGGACTAAAATGATATCTCTATTTGAATGTCCCAGATAACTCAAACCCAACAGGCCTGCAGCCAAGACCCAGAAGCCAGCCTCATAACCCCCAACATGCCTACATCTAATACCAGAAGCCAGACTCATAACCCCCCACTCCTCACATCCAGCCCCCCACCAACCCATGGCTCTCATCCCCAAGTCTGCCCCTCTGTTCCAGCCCTGGCTGAGGAGACTCCTTTCCTCCCCCAGAAGCTGTAGCACTTTTACTTTTGCATAGGGGCCCCTGCAATGCTCTGTCCACAAGGCAGCTGGGGAGCTTTCAAAATGCAAATCTGCTCTCTTCACACGATAGGCTACCCCTCTTCTGGTTTTAATCACTCCAGTGCTTTCTGGTTGTTTCTACAATAACAAGCACAACCCTTGTGCACTCAACTCTGCTCTCTGCACACAGCCCTGCCCTGACCCCTGCACCCAACCCTGCAGTTCCCAGAATCTCTCTATGTCCCATGTCATTAACCCTTCCTTCAGAGCCTATACCCAAGTCCACTGTCTATGGCCAAACTTTCCCGGCTCCTCTGACCAACTTAGAGTACTTCATGTCTCTCTCTCAGATCCCAATTCACAGGTCAGTTATTGTTTAACTAGAGGCTCGATGCATAAAATTCATGCAAGGGGCCCAGCCCCCCACCGCCAACATGGCTGCCTCAACCCCCACAGTCACAGAGGCCACCTCGGCCCTCGCAGCCCCTGCTTCATCTAGAAGGTCATCCGGAAAGAATCTGGTCTAATTAGCAAGTTACACTTTTATTATTACAGATCTTTCTGATTTCCATTGGCTGCCCCCACCTCGACAGGACTGGGCAAGCACGGGGCCTGGTGTCAGTGAGGACTATGAGGTCTGCATACTGGGTATGAGGGTTGACACAGCATCCTGAGTCTGAATTCTCCTAAAAGTCTGGACAAAGCAGATAGGCAGGCAGGTGAGGCTGCCTGAAATTGGTGATAGGAGCCAAATGGCACAAACCAGAGCCCCGCAGGGCCAGAGTGGGGCTTTACTTGGGCCCTCATCTAATAGGGACCTCAGGCCCTGGTACCAAGGTGGGATAGGTATTTGCAGATGCAGATGTGAGCCGGTGAGAGGCCAGCTGAGGTGGGGGAGGGGCTCATATGCCTTCTGCCCCATAAATACCAGCCAGCCTGACAAATACAGCCTAGAACGTGTGCTCCATGACACCATGGCCCTGAGAGGAGCAGGGCATGCCTCACACCCCCCACAGGCACTTACTTGAGCCTCACCACCCACCTGCTTACCTTGCATGTTGTGCTCAGCAGGGCTCCATCTCGGCTCCAGACAGCACCCTGCACCAGGTCCCCGTGGGCTGCCAGCTCTGCAAAGAAGCAGCCAAGGTTAAGGTCCCACATCCTGCCCTGGGCAATAGAACACAGGGAAGCAGGTGGGCCTAGTTGCAGTTAACTCTCTGGGGCAAAGGCAACAGCTGCCAGAGTCCCTTCTCAGGTGGAAGGAACAAGGACAATAACTCCTTTCAGATACTCTGTACTATATCCAAGGGCTCCTTCCTCAGCCCTACCATTGTCAGGCCATGCTCCTACCCTGAAACCTTCCAAGGTTCCCTGCTTCCCACCCCCATGGAACTGCTGTGTTGTGCTGAGGAATAATTAAACTCTTGGCACAGTGCTGGGCACGTGATAAGGGCTTGAGATGATAGTTACAGGTGGGGTGACTCCCTAATGACATCTGCCTAGTGACCTTCACCTCTGCTTCAAGGGTCAGGCTGGTCTCTTCAACTGTGCCAGGAACCCTTTGGGGGTAAGCCCTGCACCTTGTACTTTCCATTCCTTGTGGCACAAGAGGCCTCCATGGTGGGCACTGACTGAAGCTGTCAGGAGGGGAACCCTGAGACTCCTAGTTATGCTACCAATGGCCCTTGGCCTCAGCCCCACTGTGAGCTTGGTGTACCCTGGACGCTGCACAGCTCTGGGGCAGCAGTTTGTCCTTCAACTCTCTGAATGTGTTTGTATGTGTTTAATTTATTGATTTTTAGAGAGGAAGGGAGGAAGAGAAATATCAATTTGTTGTTCCACTTATTTATACATTCATTGACTGATGCTTGTATGTGCCCTGAACAGGATTAAACTCGAAACTTTGGTGTATGTGGATGACATTCTAACTAACTGATCTACCTGGCAAGAGCTGAGCCTTGTGCCTTTCCCCTAAAAAGGAAGGACTCTGCAAAATGGACTCAGTGACACTACCACAAAAAAACACTTGGGCTCAGCTGAGGTTCATACTGCAAGGTCATAACCAGTCAAATACTGAGGTGTCTGGCTCAAAGTTGTTATCATCTAAGCATGCTCTGGATGTCTGTGTCAACCTCCCCGCACCCCGGCCCAAACACACACACATTTCACGTGTTGAAACCTAACCCCCACTGTGATGGAATGTGGAGGTGGGAGCCTTTGGGAGGTGATTAGCTCATGAGGGGGTAAGCATCCATGAATAGGATTAGTACTTTTATAAAAGAGAGCTCCCTCCCCTGTTCCACCATGTGAAGACACAGGGAGTAAGATGGCTGACTATGAATCAGGAAGCAGGTTCTCATCAGACACTAAATCGGCTGGCATCTTGATCTTGGACTCCCAGCCTCTAGAACTGTGAGAAATAAATTTCTATTGTTTATAAACCACCCAGTCCATGGGATTTTGTTATAGCAGCCTATACAGACTAGGTCAATCTATATCAGGAAGATGAGAGGAAGAAAAACATGGCGAGGCAGGGATGGGCTGGGACTGTAAGAGAGAAAATCTTCAGCCGAAACCGGTTTGGCTCAGTGGTAGAGCGTCGTCGGTCTGCAGACTGAAAGGTCCCGGGTTCAATTCTGGTCAAGGGCATGTACCTTGGTTGCAGGCACGTCCCCGGTAGGGGGTGTGCAAGAGGCAACTGGTCGATGTTTCTCTCTCATCGATGTTTCTAGCTCTATATCCCTCTCCCTTCCTCTCTGTAAAAAATCAATAAAAATATATTTAAAAAAAAAAATCTTCATCTCATGGGTAGAAGTCAATAGTTTGTTTTCAAAACTGAAATAACATAACTCAAGAAATAACAGTATAAAAAAGTTATTCAGACGTGTGGAGGAAAGAGTAGAAAAAACAGCCGTAATTAAAACATGTGCCATGAGAAATGGAGAAGGTGGGGTGTTCTTAAGACTTGGTTTTATACTACGTACAAGTGATTTTTTTTTTATACTTACTTTACAACTCATGATATCAAACACATAAACAAAGAAACAGAACATTTTCCAGAAGGGGACTGCCCAGACAGTGACGTGGCTAGTGGGACCCATACCTGTTAGGGGCTGCTGCTTAGCCACATCCCAGACCTTCACGGCTGTGCCTGCCGCGCTCACCAGGACGCCATCCACAGTGGGGTGGAACTGCAGCACCTCTGCCCGGGTGTCCTCAGGGCCCAGCACCAGCCCAGGTCCCGAGGGCAGCGCCTGGCCAGAGGCTGGCAGTCTCCACAGTTTCATCTATGGGAAAGAGTAAGCCTGAGTCCGGGAGAGGGAAGGTCCTCACTGCCCCAACTCCAGGCGCCATGCTTGGGCATAAGGCTGTGTGTCTGTGTTGGGAAAAGGAGGGAGATCTGGCTCAGGGTCACAAGTGTGGTTGAAGGCTGGGGGGAAATGAGAGCAGGGAAATCAGGGTTCTTATCGATCTGTTCTGAGCCTCCCACACTCCCCCAGCCCTGATGTCCTTAGGCAGTCAAGAAGCAAACCAGCACATCACAGGCAGGGCTCCGCCAAGGGCACAGGAGTATGTGGGAGTTGGTGTGGGTTAAGGAACTAATAAGTCTGGGCTGGCCTAGCCCTGCAAATCTGTGGAGGAGCTGAGGGATAGTGGGAGGGGTTGGACTAGGAAGGAGCAGGGCCCCAGAGGCTCAGGGGCTCAGAAGGCCCCAAATAGGAGTGGGTGAGGCATTGAGCAGCAATGGTTCCACTCACCGTCCTATCTGCTGAGCTGGTAGCCAGGAGAAAGTCATCAAAGGGAGAGAAGTCCAAGTCCGTGACCAGGTCTGCAGGAAAGAAATGGTTGACTTAGGCCCAACTAGAACCCACCAGAACAACCTGCTTCCAAAACTGAAATAACATAACTTAAGAAATAACAGTATAAAAAAGTTATTCAGATGTGTGGAGGGATCAAAGGTCTGGGATCAAAGCCCAGGGCTTCAGAGGTGACATCTCTGCACATGCACACATGGAAGCAGGCTCAAAGTCCCAGAAGGAGAGCATCTCTGCAAACTATGGGCAACTGCCCTAGGCCTGCCTGCAACACATATCCCCGTGAGCCCTGTAGACCTAGGGTGGCTAAAGACCTGGCAGGGAGAGGTCAGCAGGGCAATGGGAAAAGAGCTCCTCCCTGATGTGGCTCCGTTGGTTGAGTGTCGTTCCATGTACCAAAAGGTCATTGGTTTGATTCCCAGTCAGGGCTCATATTCAGGTTTCACACTCAATCCCCAATCAGGGTGCCTAAAGGAGGCAACAAGTGGATGTTTCTCTCTCACATTGATGTTTCTCTTTTTCTTCTCCTCTCCCTTTGTCTCTAAAATCAATAAAAACAGCCGGGACCGGTTTAGCTCAATGGATAGAGCGTCGGCTTGGGGACTGAAGGGACCCGGGTTCGATTCCGGTCAAGGGCATGTACCTTGGTTGCGGGCATATCCCCAGTAGGGGGTGTGCAAGAGGCAACTGATCGATGACTCTCTCTCATCAATGTTTCTAACTCTCTATCTCTCTCCCTTCCTCTTTGTACAAAATCAATAAAATATATTTAAAAAAATAAAAAATAAATAAAATAAAATAAATAAAAACATATTTAAAAAGTGGAAGAAAAGGTATTTCTGTATAAAACAACAATAACAAAAACTCCTTGGATTACCAGGAACCTGAAGTTACCTAAAGCCCAGAGCCTAGCACAAGGTTTGGCAAGAATTATGTGAATGAACACAGTTCTGGCCCCACTGTAATCACAAGGAATTCACAAACCACTCAGTCCGACTGTCCCTCAGCACCTCCTCAAGGAGACACACATCTGTGCAGATGCAACAGGAGCAAGTTCTGCCCACAGGGGTGACGCACAGATCAGAGATAGGAAAGCCTTCAATGAGATGCATGGTGAGTCTTGGAGAAGGCAGTAGGGGGAGGGAGAGGAAGGTGGTTGTTGTCACATGCCTGACCTAGGCATTCTCTACCCTGTTACTCCCCACAAAGCTAGGTCCCAATGTGGGAGGGCACCTGATCTGTGCACCAGCAGCCAGCTTCTCTCTTAGGAGTTAAACCTAGAATAGGAAGGCCTAGCAACAGGATGCTTTAGGGACTAGGTGGGGGGTCACCAGCTCAGAGGGAGCTGGCAGCTTCCATGCCAGGACCCTCCAAGACCTGGCTGATCCTTTGGCTCTGGAAGCTTCCCAGGAATATCCCCATAAATTTATTTTTGTCTTAAGCAAGTTGGAATTGGTCTTCTGTTCTCTGAAACCAAAGAACCTGAACTGTCCAGCTCTGGCAGGTGGGGGTTGGGGTGCACAGAGTGAACCAGAGCCCAGAAGGGAAATGAGACTGGGGAGAGGGGGCAGCGGAGATGAGGCCAGAGCTTGGTGTTGAGGG